AGCGGCCGGGACGGTGCGCGGCGTCGGTCGGGTCCGGGCGGCCGCGCGGGGAAGTGTTCCCGGAGGAGAAAAATCGCATCTGCCGCCCTTCAGACGCCGAGGGAAGGGAGCCTTTCGTTAAAAGGCAACAGCGACTTCCCCTCGAGGAGAGTGTGCTTTCGCTAAAACGCGTCGGCTCGCTGGAGCGGTGAAAGCTTTGACTTGAGCGCTGGGGTTAAAGGGAGGTGATGGGAGGTGAGGAACATCTCCGGAGCTTCCAGAGCCACCCGAGAGCGAACTGGCTGTACTTCCTTCCCTCGGCACGTGTTGCCAGTGCAAACTGCTTATTTCAGTATTCGGCTTTTTTTTCCTCTCCCCTCTTTTTTTTTTTTTTTTTTTGGAAACTGGCTTTCAGAAACGAGTAAAATTGTTCCAAAGACACGAACCCGAAGTCTCAAATGAGCTGTTTTGAATTTGTTCACAAGTACATCAAATGCTTTTAAAATTTAAAATTGGGCTTTGAAACTGCCAACTTCAGCCCCATTTTTGTCATTAAGGTTAGTTACAGACTACTCTTCTGAATTAAGAAGTGAGATGAAGTATGGCTCGGAGTAGTCACAAACTGACTAGTTATTTCCTGGTTTGATTTCTGCTGTGTGTTCCTTCACAGGAATCAGTACCTCATAGCATTGTTGTTAGATTCTTAACTCTTTGCTGTTCCTAAAATGCACAAGAAACCTCTTTTTCATCTCTCCTACAATGAAACACAAAGTAAAAATTCCCTTCCCACAGAAAATAACGCCTACTTTCACCAAGTTTGATTTACGCTGAAGCTTTAATTTCACATGGTGTAGATATTGCTAGCCACTCCACAATTAAATTGTTCTTGTGCACAGTGACATTATTCTTACGTTCATCCAAATATAAATTAATACCATTTACTGCAACTGATCTTATTTGCATTTGGGAGTGAAAGGATAGGCAGTCAAGTACATGGTTATCTTTTACTGCGTAACTTTATTTTAGCTGAATCTTATCCCTGCTTGTAATCTGTGGTCTTAGAACCTGTAATATTTTGGGAGAGGCCTCCTCTAATGAGTCTCTCAACTTCACTATATTTATATTTTTTTTTTTTTTATACATTCACTTTTCATTGTGCGTGCTTGTTTGCTTTAAAAAGTCATCAGGGAAACAATGGGCAGGAAAGGAAAACGTAGTTTGCTACTATTTGAAGTTCCTGAACAGGTGAAAGTGCATAGTATACCTGAGTCCTTCCCTAAAAAAAAAAAAAAGACATGTAGCTGATGAACAAGCTTTCAGATGCAGCCTATGCAGTTATTTATATAAAGGGGAAATCACTGTAGCTTCACCTTTGTAATTCTAAGTCTGCTGCTGTCTTTCTCTGCCAGAACTTCATCCCTTGGAAGCAACCAGTGATGCCTGTTCTGCGTATTTTTATTTCTACTTAATTATAAAGCAGCGTCTGAATTTCTTGTTCTGAAACATCTGGTTTTGTTTTATGAACAGGGCACAAGTAGTCAGGTTTATTTAGAAATGTAGTGTGTGTAATGACTGATGTTAAAAAGAGCTAGCAATTTTACTTTTTTTTTAGTCTTGAATGTTTTTCCAGACATCAAGGATTTATTCTTTTATCTCCAAAGGGAGCCTTTGCAAATGACCTTACATATTTTTAAGCAGGCAAAAAAACCCCAGAGAACAGCTCAGGGATTTTATGTAGAACTGGCAGTAGGTTGTGGGGTACTTCTGTCATACAACTCTTGATTGAAAAAGGAAAATAATTGCTAATATTACTGAGAAAGTAACTGTGAAATATTAAATAAGATTTTGGGCTTACTGGTATTGCTTTGATAACTTGAAAATAAGCCTACGTGTTCAGTTTGGTTTGGGAGACTTCCTAACAACCCTGTTGTTTGGCAAGTACTTGTATTTACGATGCCTACATGGGGGTCAGATCACCCTTGTACTACCTGATAAGCTTTTTGCAAAATTTGAGGCATATGTGTACAATAGCATTTCAGACTGAGCCTTTAAAAGGCTCTGCATAGAAAATTAACATTTTCTTACTTTCAAGTTTAAGACCACACTAGTGGGTTTTTAATATGCTTGTTACTAGAAGAAAATTGTTGGGTTCGGTGTGGTTACTAACGAGACTGTTCTTGAGTTTTTCAGTATTGACCTATGATTTTGATTTGAGAAGCATGTATTTTAATTGGATGTTTTTTTCTGTTTAAAGGGAGGGAACAGGCTTCGGAAATCCAGAGAATAAATATCTACATAGCTTTTTAAACAGGCTATGGTTTAAATGTGGCCTCTATGGCACCATGAGGATGTGGGAGTTTGTATTATTTCATTTTTTTTCTTTTCTCTGATACAGTTCCTGTGGTTTTTCATGGCCCTCTAGCACAAGTTGGCGGGGAGGCATGGGCACTTAGCTGTCTCGCGCGGTCTCCCAGAAAGCAAGTACTTGTGACCCAGTATCCTTGGGGCCTGCAGAAACTGGAGCGGTCCGGAGGGCTGCAGCGGTCAGCTGGTTTACACTCCAAGATCTTGCTCCTTGGCATTTCAAGTGTATAAATTAAGGAGTATAAACCACATATATGCTAAAGATGCTCAGAGCTGGGAAGGTTGATCTTGAACAGGCTAAAGTGGTGGTGACTTAAGAGTCAAAAATATTTGGAGATAGGTATCATTCTGGTTTTGTGTTGATACGTAAATAGAATCACTTAGAAAAGCAGAGGGATAATACAAGCTGCTGATACTGACGGTCTGCAGCCCTCGCAGTTTTGATGCTTATTTGTGCAAGTGTATCCCCGCTGAAGTATTTGCCTTTGCGTATTGTAGGGCAAACAGATATTAATGTACTGATACAATACCTCCTCCCCCCAGTATTAGTAGGATCGATTTGTCAATTTTAATGACATTGAAAATGTGCTTTACAGGAGATTTAAAAAAAAAAAAAATTGCTTTTAAGGATAGTCTGGAATGGAACTTGATGTCAGAGTATTACTCTGCCTCGGCAGAGAGGAAAAAGTCAAGACAAAGCACTTCTACTTTCAAAATGGGAGGTATTAATCGTGTGACAGGCAGCGTTGCAGTACATGACCGGAACTATCTCAAATACCACGTAGAGCTATTGTGTCATAGGTAGCAGTACAGTTATACGATGAAGTTGCTGAATTCTGGATTGCTTGAAAGGAATCTGTTTGTCAGGAAATTCCAACTAGTAGAGTACTGTTTGTATAGCTTTTAAGAAAACCTCTATTCTGGATTAATGACCATTTAAATCTGAGTGATCATGGTAATCAATACAGCTATTTGATTGCAACAAATTACGCTTAACCCTGGGATTTTGAATAGAGTTATATTCTGGGAACATGTTTAAGTATTTGCATGCTTACAGGACATACTCAGGGCACCAGAGAAAGGTATAAATACTGCGAATCCCACTTCTACTTGCAAAAATCATTTTTTTAATTTCACATCTAGAAACTGAGATAGTCTTCGTGGCTTGGCGTTGAGGAGATACACAAATAAATACAGCGAGTTTATAAAGAAAAATGAATCTTATTTTCATTTGAAACCATAGATATTTATGTGACAGCAATGTATGCTTTTTCTAGTATGGCTAAGTCAGTCTTTTCAGTGGTTTTACAAAGGGCTGCAGCTGAGAAGAATTCCTACGGTTGCCTATTCTCACACAGCATCTGTAGATTTGGGTTTCACTGGTGTCTTAATGTGGCCAGAGGATTTCGTCCTGTGAAGTTTGATTGAGCTGTCTATTGATGCTGCTTGCCTGTAGATGAGAAAACAGGCATATTTACGTTTCTGCTCAGATAAGTGTTTATCTAGGTACAAGTAGATTGTGAAAGGGAAGGAGTCCTTTTCTTTCCGAAGGAGTTGTCCCTAGTAGCAGGTCTCAGGAGTTCCTTTTCCTTTAGCAGTACTTCTTTTAGAGCTGTGCCAGCTCTTTAAAAAGCATGGGCAATTTTTAATGTTGCAGGTACTAAGTTGGTGCAGGGTATCCAGACGGAACTGAAAGGACAGATTCTAATGTCAGCAAAACTGATTTGAAAGAAATATTGATCCCATGTTGTATTTTATATCCGAAGCAGCCAATGGCAAATGTTGTCAAAATGGAATCAGATGTTTGTAACTTAATACTTAAGAAAAATGATGAGTGCATGTTTTTGACTTTAAGTATTCTCTATGCTGCCTGGCTTAAGACATAAACTGATGTAAAAATAAATGACTGCCTGCATAATTTATGTAATGTCTTGCTCCCTGATCCTGTTTGTATTGATTTTTCTAAAAGGCTTTTGTGGCCACAGGAACCAATCTGTCTCTCCAGTTTTTTCCGGCCAGCTGGCAGGGGGAGCAGCGACAGACACCGACCCGGGAATATGTCGACTTTGAAAGAGAAGGAGGCAAGGTAAGAAGGAAATCGTTGCCACTGAAGTAAATTTTTATGTTGTGCTTATGATCTTATTAGTATGGACAGCATGTGTGATGCAGAGTTACTAATACTTCACATCTCGGTGCGTGTGTGTGCAGGTAAAGCTGAAAGCTGGTAGGATAAAATCTGGTATTGCCTTGTCTTAAAGCATGTTGATGCTTCTGGAGGGGAGCGCATGGGCAGTACTGATGGCATTCTAGTATTTTGCAGAACAGAACTTTATTTCCGCTGTCATGCTATAATAAAAATCTTGAGGAACAATTTAAATTTAGTGTTGAGTAGGTGCTTCTAAAGTGGCTCAGAAATTTGACTTTGGCTGATGAGTTGTGGTAGACTAAAGAAACTTTGCACTTGGAAGAGGTTACTTCATTGGGTCTTAGGTTGCCAGTTGATACAGCAAGCATTCAGTGTGCTGCTTGGTGGAATGAAGCTTTTCTTTCTCAGTTTCACGGTGAGCAGTAATACAGAAGAAGCGTCGCTTTCGGAATTGATTTCTGAATATTTTTTTTTTTTCTGAGGTGGTTGTCCCATAGACAGATATCGAAAGCTAGAATTCCCTAATGACGGTGATGGTTACTGTGAAGCTGTGTTAGTTAGATTTGAAGTCAGAAACCTTGTTTTGTCTCATCAGAATAAAGTGCCTGAAATCACTTACAGCTGGTTTTGTTTTACAGGAAAAACATACCTTTAAGGTGTAGAAGCTGTCTCTTATCTGTGTTACTGTAGATGCTTTGGGACTGATCCAAAGATTACTGAATTCAATAGGAGACTCTCTTCAGACTTCTGTAGGTTTGGACCAGCACTTAAGCCCCCACAGCCTTTCTGTTCCAGGCTAATTTCTATATATTTTTTAAAAGATTTTTAATAGACTACAAAATTCTTGCTTTTACCTGTTTTTTTTTTCTGCCCACTCTTCTAACAAGTAACAGCTAATACTACCAAACCTACCAGGCTGGAGGAAATACTTGAAGCATATTCACGTTTAATGGCACATTGGGTCTTTTAAATGCTGCTAGGTGGAAGATAAATATTTCCCATAGTGGGAAAACTTGATTGGAAGGGAAAACAAAAATTCCTGAGGGCAGATACAGTATTTGGAATTCAAGTTAATGAGTTTTTTTGGAAAAAGTTGTTTTCCATTTAGTCCTGTGAGGCTTGCAGAAATTTGACAGACTGGGGGAGAAGGAGTGAATTTGGCTATGCTGGGTACTGAGTGCTTTGCTAAGGAAACTGAATTGAATCTGGCTCTTATTGAAAAATATTGATTCTGGCTCACAATTGAATGAGGAATTCTTCTTGTAATGTGTAAGAAGACTGAAGTCTCTCTTCTTGCCAGTTCAAAACTAATTTTATTTACTCCTATGATTTTTTTTAACTTTGTTTTCTCTGAATGAATTCTTAAAGTACTGAACTACTTCATCGATTTTCTTGTGTTGGCTTAATCATGTAAAAGCGTGGTAGATACGCTGCGTATTAAAATAGAACGTGGGCCTCGTTAATGAGCGCCACTCCCTGTTTTATGTGTGTTTACAGTAAATTCTGGAGTGCTTCACTAAAATGTTTAGAAGAATTCACCTGAATGAGGCTAAAGGTGGACTAACTAATAAATGGGAGTAGTGTTCTGCTGTAGTTTGTACGAATCGCAAATTCACCGTTGTAATCCAACTTTGCTAGTGTAAATCACATGCGAACGCAGGCTTGTTCTGCACAGAATTAAACTTGTCTGAAAGTAAGCCACTCCCATAGCTTCAGAGGAGGAGTAGGCAGAATAAGAGAGCGTTTCTTACGTTATCAACAGGAACAGTGCAGTGTTTCACATGAATTGTCTGAGATTTTTGTCCTCTGTAGATCTTCGTTGTTTGGTTTTATTAAGAATTTCTTTCATAGGCTTCAACAGTCTCTTAACACCATGTGATTTTTGTAGCTCTGTGCAACATTGTTTTATGAGCTCTGATTCTTGAGGCAGTGCATAATGTGTGTTTGTTCATCGCTGGATTTAAGCCAGCAAGGCATGTTTTTAATTATGTGAATAAAAAAAGGCTATGGGGGGAGCTGTCAGTTAATTATTATTTTAGGCATTGGTTTGAGATCTAGAATGTAGATAAACTTACCAACACTAGAATATTTTTATTCTGGAATTCTGCTTCAGTGTTTGGCTAAGGAAACGATGGCCCAAAATAGTTTATCCAGAGTTGAAGTTTGTCACTACTGTGCCTGAGCAGTTTTGTACAGAGATTGACAAAGCTACCAGTGCAACATCTGCAGGAGTTGCTTCTTAAATGATAAAATTTTAGAAGGAGCAACACCCTTGTGAATCCATGTGACAGGGTTCTGTGACTATCTACTTCATAGGTTCGAGGGTTTTCATTCTTGTATTTCTATAACTGAGGGGTTTTTCCTGTGCTTGATTTGCCTTTTAATTTGATGCAGCGGATGCTCACGATGGGTGGGTAGGGCTCTCGTGGATACCCTGTCTTCATTAATTCAAGAATTGGATAGCTGAGTGTTCACTTAATGTTTCTACTCATTTTTAAACTCAAGCTTAATTTTTTTTTTTTTTTTGAGAGGGTTTTAACATTTTGTGCTGGTTTTGACCTGTAGCAAATTGAATTGTGTGTTTGAGCAATTTTTCAGCTTTGTCTTAGCGAAAGAGAAAGTAGCACTAAAAATAGGTCCCTAGATTGTAAAAACGATAAACATTGTATTTCATTGTCATTGTGGGGATATGGGGGATGCGTCAAATTCAGTCCATGTCCTCTTTCTGGATATCCAAACCACACCAAGTTTTCCTGGTCCTTTGTGTTGTCACCTAATGTCCACAGTTTTGGTGGGTTATGTTTGTTTGGAATTTTTTTTTAAAGGATCAATGAATAGATATTAAGAAATTCAGAGGCAGGCAATGTAGTAGCATAATATATTGCCTGAAATCTCACATAGTTGAACCCAGGAATGAAATTAAGAGCTTTATTTTTGGCTTCATTCTCTGGTATCGTTAATTACGTGGACTAGTTTTATTATGCTTAATGAAGTTCTTTTAATTTTTACTTCTGTTTTATACTGATACCATATGAACTCCAGGCTCAACTATGTGTGTGTGGACTTCAGTGCTTCTTAAACTCTTAATTCTATTGAAATTGTTAAGAGCAGTGGGATCAATTTGCTTTGCATGATTCATTTTGTATACTTCTTATAGTAAGATAAAACATCCCCCGTTTTCACTTGTTGTTTGAGATGTTTATATAGCTCTGGCCTTTCTTACCTGAAGGAACATTAGTTCTCAGGTAGTCTTTTTTATTGTTTAAATACTGGTTACTACCCTGATGAAGTGTGTGAAGTTGTTTTACTTCCCCTCCCCTTTATAATGCTATTCTCCAGCTCGTTTCTAATGCAGCTTAACTTCCTGTCTGCTGTTCAGCGGCAGCTGCTCGTAAACCAGCATCTTCAGCACAGGCTTATGTCAGTGTAATGGGCAGTGAACTCCGCAGCTCTGGCGGAGAGCACATCAGATGTCATTTAAAGTGAATCAGAGTGCCTGGTATGCCACATGTGTGGTGTCGCTAGGATTTCTACTCCCTAGACCATTAACTTTGTTCTAGCTGTAACTAAAGATTACTGGACTTCAGTTTTCTTCCTGATGATGCTGGGTTTCTACTCGTGCAGTTTTATTCTGTCCTCTAGGATACTTTATTTGGCTATTAGTTGATATTAAGTGCTTGGATGAATCCAAAAGCCTTGAAGTCTCTGTGCTGCAGACATTACAGCGATTACAGAAATGTAATGAATAAAGAAAGGTGCTGTATCTGATCAAAACCTATATTTAAATGGCAGCCCAACAGCACTTGTCCTCTTTTTTTCTCACTAGAGATTTGATAGCTAGGACTTGATTTGAGGACAACTTTTTCTTTTTTGACTTGAGCAGTAACATTTCAGATTATTGGGATGGTGTATTGGCTGCTCTGTTTTCTGGGCAAATGCAATTTCCAGTCAAAGACAAGATCACAGTGTACCCAGTGAAATTTGCTTGGAAAGTGAAGGCTTAGTTGATGAGAAGTATCTGCGTGTTGGTGCTAACCTGTACTGAATCAGAAGTTTTACTTTCCTTGGTCCCACCACTTTCTGAAGAAATTTAGATGAAACATTAATTCATTCAAAGCTGGAGTAGCAGCTTGCTCTTTTTTTTTTTTTTTCTTTAGGTACCCTTACTTTTAAAAAATCAGTAAGGGTGCCTGGGAAACTGATTTATAGTTTCAGCTCTCATTTTACCCTCACCTTAGTGCTATATTCCTTAAGTTCCTGTATTTTCCGTACAGCACTATTTGGGGTTTTTCCATTGTCACCACCTAAATTGTTCTCGCAGTGAGCAGTTCCCTGCAATCCGCTGAGCCTCTGGACAGAAAGTATTTGGGTATAACTTTTTTCCCTATCAGTGGGAAAAGATGCCTGATGTTAGGGATTTAGGGGGAAAAAGAAGTATGCTAGATCCGTAATATTACTTAAAGATTATACTGAGGTGTGCCACCACATAGGACAAGCCATCTCAGCCATGAGATGCACATGGTGTTAGCAGTTATCAAGACTTCCTCCTTTTGTTTGTCTGTAGTAACGTAATGCTCCTTCATGTATTACTGTGAAGGTCTGTTAAAAGCACTAAAACCCCAAAGTGTTGGGCATCACAGAACCAAAGTTCACAGAGCTGTTTGTACGTGGCGGAGGCATGTGGGCATGTAACGTGTAACTTAAAGGTTGACACTTGCTACGTTTTTTTATGTGGTGCCATATGTATTCACCGTCGGATCGTCTCTTAAGGTGTGAGGGCATGGAGTTTCCCGGGAGCTGTCCTGCTCATGAGCACTTTCTGTTGCAGAACAGTCTTGTTGTTTACAGATCTGAACTCGACTGAGGTTCATGGCATAGCTCTGTACAGTCCTTGAGTGATTTTTAGATTAGTCCCTTAATGCGCTGGTGAGTTAGGATAA